AACCTAATTGTTTACAACTTACTTATTAAATAAACAATCCATTGTCCAATTTGGTAATATAAACAATGGCCCGATTCGGAAAAATGGTGACATTGCGGCCAAAAATAGATGCGGTATCTCCACCGCCATTCTTTTCGCCGGGGACTGTAATTGATGAATGTGCATGAAATTCTTTAATATTTGGTACTATACCAATGTATATCTTTACATCATAAAAATCTTCAGTATTTAATAATCTTTCATGTTCATTAAAATATTTTTCATATATTGAATTCATTTTTTAAAAATTGTTTTGGCGAGAATATAAAATTTTAAATGAGAATCAAAAAAAGGAATTAAATTTTTTTGTGATAGGTATTACCATTTTCACATCATTTACACGAAAAAATATAGATTTGAAAATTACTACGCACCATCTGGTATCTTTTCGCATGAATTTGATACCTCTGAAAATAAAGAAGGTGTATTTTCTATGTAAACCTTATAAGCAATCAATACATGACAATAATTATATTTGATTTATTCCTTAGTTAAACTTTCTGACTTTAAATATGTTAAAAAACCTTGCTTCAAAAGGTTGAAATTTACTTTACAAAATCACTTACAAAATCACCTGCACGTAAAAACAGATATTTGAGTCACTTGATATTCAACGGAATTCTTACGCTAAAAAATGATCACATTACCTATTACTTATTGGAAGAGTGAAATTTTGATAATTCATAACAGAATACTATAAATCTTACAGATTTCGTTTTTTAAAACTATACATATATATATAAAATATACAAAAACATCAAATTTCATATGCACAACCATATGAGTTACTACCTAGACCACAAAATAGTATTTTGCGCTCCAATGCTTCCTTTCAGGTACTGTATATCGATATTATCCAACATGTAAAAATTATTAGAGATTTTTTCTACATATGACTTCTTTTTTAGGGTTTCAGGTCTCAAATGGTGTGATCGAACCGATTAACATCCTTATTTTAACCCTTCCCCTCGTTAAATAGAGAAATTGTTTGATGAAAACAAAATAAAATACTACTACCAAGAAAAATATGCCAACTACTATTACGCTAATTCCTTATAAACATAAAATTTACACCGTCAATAAGTTTAATAAATTGCATGTACGATAATAATGTAGTGCTGAGTTGTAAATTGTAAACCTTTTACCAAAAAAAAAAAAGTAAAGGAACAAAATCGTTGATCAACGATTCAATCCATATTGTAATATATGTCACGCGCCCAATAATATATTTATTCAAAAAATATTTATTAACTATATACTAATTAC